GCAGTGGGGAACCGAGGGCACACAGACCGGTGCTCAGTGGACAGGAGAGAAGCTAGGAATCCACCGAATTGTCGGTCATATTTGTGCTAGCGGCATTTTGCCTATAGTACCTTTTTGGCAGCCGAAATTTGAATGCATCCCTAATATATCTGGGGTTCACCGTTTAATTTAGGGGGTACATGTACTGTCTACAGAGTAGGCTGTAAACTATCTATCTATCTATCTATATCTACTTGGAATTTACTTTTAAGCTATAAGTAACAGTGAGACATACTCACCAATTTACTATCCTGTATTTAAAGCCTGTTTTTTTTCCCCATCTTCCTACAGTAAAGCTGCAAAATATTACTACAGTATATTATAGCATATTCCTTGACCACACCTGCTTTTGCTTCTGCATAGCCCTTTAAAGGGTTTACAGGAAATTGCTGTCTGATGGATTTGCACCAGAACACTTGGTTCTGGTCTCTGTTAAAAGCATGCATCTGTTAGATTTTGCCATAAGAGAGAGATGTAATTCCAGAAGAGATCCAATGTCCCAACACTTTTGTCAAACCGCTGGACCTGTGTTTCTGTGGGTACTGTTAATACCAAGAAGCAGTTACTGACTGCTTTCAATGCCAGCCTGTTAAATGGCACTGCTAACAATGAAATGCTTGCCATCTAAAAGTGCAATACATACCCGGTCACTTTACATACACTCTGCGTGTACATAGTACTGAGGAAAATGTCACTATTATTTTTCTTTTAACCTAATGCCAGCCAAAAAAGTTAGATGTTCTCGGGTTTGTATTGCTTCTATATCTTCCTTAGGGACAGTTCCCCTTAATTCTTGTCAGGAAATCTCCTCAATGGGTATATAGACAAAAGAGCGAGGAAGCGTTAAAACATTTGATAAGGTCATGCTTTCAGTGCCTTCCTGTCCAGTTGACTCCCCTCTTATTTCTTTGCTGAGCACCAAAGAGACAGGAAGTGAGGAAACTTCTCCCTAATGGGGTCGCAGACAGAAATTAACACCAAAAACTGAAATGTTGTTGTTTAGAGTAAGGCTTTGATTTAAAAAAATAAAATGTCTAAAGAGTGTACATGGTGTATATATAGGGAGTATCCACGTCTAACTTTATTTTAATTTACTATGTTTGTTAGTTGACACATGACTGTGTAAAAGGAGAAATATTCCGGTCAACAAGTAAAACCAATCAGTGAACGACTAATGCATTCTAGTGCACAGCAGCTCTATTAAAATAAACCATGTGTCCCTGTTTACATCTCTCTGAGTTTTTATTAATCCATTGCATTCGCAACATGCACAGAACACCTCACAGGGTCAGCAAGAATGAAGGCCCTGAAACGTGTTGTGTAACATCTTCTCTCTGCTTTCTACATCACCAATCACATCCAAACTTCAAAGGCAGTTTTAAATACAATTGGTGGCTGTGAGAAATATTTAGAACCAGCATTCTTGTACATTAGCCTTGCTGTAAGAAAGGCAGCAAGCAGGTATGTTCCAGGATCACCGAATTACAGAAAAACAGAAGATTGGGAGGACAGCTGCACTATAGCAATGCTTGAATGAAAAACTGAAGTAATGAACAGGTAGTCTGCACTCTCTGTATACATTACATCCCAAGTAATATTCATAACAATGCTTGGAGCATACCTTTATGTTTTTAGTATAACCTTTTCTTTTGTTAATATAATCTTTTGTTTTTGCCTAAGTGGCACATCTAAACCAATGAAGTGACATAAACAGCACTGTGGTTTTAAGGTGGCCATCGACATATGCTTTGGCAAACAAGACTATCCTATAGGAACCAAAAGTCTGCACCAAATACCACCATCTGACTGCAGGATAGGCTGATCAAATACTTGATCATACACCAATCAGCCATAACATTATTATAATATTGAGTAGCTTTCTTTTACTTTTTGTCAGCAACAATGTTTTGGTAGATGGTATGTGTCAAAGTAACACCCACATGAATAGCAGGACCCGAGGTATCATAGCAGAACATCACCCAAACCATCACACTGCCTCTGCCGGCTTGCCTTCTGTCCACAGTGCATCCTGGTGCCATCTCTTCCCCAGGTAATTGGCACACACGCACACGGCCATCCACATGATGCAAGAGAAAATGTGATTCATCAGACCAGGCCACCTTCTTCTATTGCTCCATGATCAAGGTCTGATGGCCACATGCCCACTGTAGGCACTTTGAGTGGTGGACACTGGTCAGCATGGGCACGCTGACTGGTCTGCAGCAATGCAGACCCATACGCAGCAAACTGTGATGCATTGTGTGTTGACAACTTTATATTGGAACCAGCATTCACTCTATCAGCACTTTGAGCTACAGTACCGCTTCTATGGAATCGGGCTATACAGGCCAGCCTTGGCTACCCATGCCCTTGTCACCAGTTTTCATTCCTTGGACCACTTCTGGCAGGTCCTGACCACTGTAGATCGGGAACAGCCCACTGGTGTGCATGCACCAGTGGGATGTTCTTCCCACTGGTGCTTCCGTTTTTCAGTTGCTCTGACCTAGTCATCTAGCCATCACAATTTGGCCCTTGTCAAAATGGCTCAAATCCTTACGCATGGCCATTTTTTCTGCTTCCAACGCATCAACTTCAGGAACAAAATGTTCACTTGGTGCCTAATATATCCCCCCTACTTTCAGGTGCCATTTAAGGAGATAATCAATGTTATTCACTTCACCTCTCAGTGGTCATAATGTTAGGGCTGATCAGCGTATTTTTGAATAGCTAAACTTAAAGCGAACCCTCCATAGGGAAAACCATGCACAACTAGGAGATCTGAGTCTGCATATTTATACATGAATGCCCCTCCCCCCAAAAAAAATCAAAACACTCTCTACCCAGAGAATATGTAATATCACATGTTACGATCTGTATGATGCAATTACCCATCATACAGCGATTGCTGAAGTTTTGTAAACCTTAAATTGTATAGACCTGTATTTTTCTGTATGAATGTCACTTTAAAGGTTCATGTAGACATGAACTTTGGAATGAAATGATTTATTTATACCCTGTCCGTACTCCTAGGTGATCCATGAAGGTTATCTATCTGCCAATCACGTGGACAAGTGTGACAAAATACACATTCCATAACCAGAACCCCAGTTTGCCTCCCCAGGAATATCGTGTCTGTGTGTGAGTGACCTGTGATTGACTATCACAGTTCCTAAATACAGATGCCTAGACACTGCTTGACAGCAGGAATGTGTGAAACTCACAATGTCAGTATGTTTCGGCCATGAAGACACAGCACCAAACAGTTCAGAGCAGCCTTGGGAGCAAGCTCTGGCATATGTTAGGTACAGGGGAGGGGGGTGTTTTCAGACAGCAATGAAAACTGTCAGCACTTTATGAGCTTCCAACAAAGGTATGAAAAGCATGCCTGGCCTGTCTCCACTCCAGAAAGGCAGTAAATGTATTTGCCATGCATAAAACACTATTATTGTATAGGTTGTAAAATGTGAAATGGGGGGAAAAAAATGTACATTTGTTTTCATGCTTATAAAAGAAATCACAAAGAGGCTCGGACACTTCTCAAATGAAACGGAAAGGAAAATTTGCATTAAAATTCAACACTTATCTGATGTAGTTTTATAACTAGTCAATCAGTCCTTCAATGTAAAACTAGCTCTGTGGCCTCTAAGGCAAGAAGATGGGTTACTGTTAATGAAGAACTGTTTCAAGCAGCATGGCCTGCAGACCCCCCAGGGCTATGACTAAAAGCTTCCTCAACTGACACAAAACTTAGAGGAGTAAAACCTTAAAAATGTATTCAAGTACCTTAACTATTAACATAAATGTATCTTATTTGTGTATCACTCGGCTGTAGAACCCAAAACCATCTCTGAATTGGTGCTGACACTATCCTTCCTTATAGGCTGGCTACTTTTGTTCCCCATGGTCCGTGTGTGTGTTGTGAAGTAGCCACCGCTCCAAGCTCACTCGCATGATGGACTACAATCTCAGATTTAGTTTACCAATTTGTAGTGAGATTGTATACCATCATAGAAGCGAGCTTGGAGCGGTGGCTAGTTTACAACACAGTTTACCACACACACAGGACCATGGGGAACAAAAGTAGCCACCCTCCAGAAGGAAGGGCAGTGTCGGCACCAATTCAGAGATGATTTGAGGATCTACAGTTGAGTGATATACAAATAAGATACATTTGATAGTTAAAAAGGAGAACTATGGGATCAGGGCTTTTCTCCATAGTTCTCCTTAGGGTAACGGGAGGACACAAACTAGCGTACCTCCGTCACCCTAAGCTCAGTATACCGCAAGCTACAGTTACAACATAGACATCTTAGTACTAAAGATTGCCAATGAGTCTGTGGAATGAGTTTGCAAAGGTCAGTAGTATTTCCTAGATATCCAGATATCCCAAATAACCCAAAACCAAAAATGTAATAGATGGCAGCTTACCAATCCCTGAATGTGTTTTTCTTTATTTTCACCTGGTGATCCAGCCAGTAACATACTTCCTGTCTTAGCCCTCAATCACACTAGAAACGGCCGGCACATACCGCTCCTTGCAGCTCGCTCCTCCATCTACCATGTAACATACCTGTTAATTACCCTTGCACCTACCATGAGATTTAACTTCCCTGGTAATATACCTGGTATTTAACCAAGTAGCATACTGGTTATTTCCCCAGTACCACACCTGTTAATTACCCTTGTACCACACCTGTTAATTACCCTTGTACCACACCTGTTAATTACCCTTGTACCACACCTGTTAATTACCCTTGTACCACACCTGTTAATTACCCTTGTACCACACCTGTTAATTTTCCCCAGTGCCATACCTATTATTTATCCATCCAAGTAACATAACTTTTAATCTCCGTAGTAACAAACTCTATAATTTCCTAGTACCATACCTATTAATTATCCTAGTAGCATACCTGTTAATCTCCCTAGTAACATATGGATTATTTACCCAAGTAACATACCTGTTAATTTTCCATTGACATAGCCATAGCTGTTTAAAGTTGGCAGTGGCTTGTTTTTAGCCTGCCCCAGCCATTCCTTGAATATCTGCTCGGCCTTCTCTTTCTTAGCCCTCTGCTCAGCTAGACGTATCTCAGCTTCTTCCTACAAAGAAAGACATAAGAACCCAATTACCTCCTCATTACCTCTGCCCTCATTCACCTTTCCATAAAGGCTCTGAAGCGAGTACCAGAATGCTAGACGCCTCGTTCATAATAACTGGACAGTCAGAAAAAAATTATGCTACGCTAAGAGGTCTTACATCTCTTTCATCTCCGATGCACAATGCCAGTTGAATGTACCATGTAATATCTGTAATAGCCTCTTAAATGCGGGAGGCAGTGTGCTCTGCAAACTGCAAGGACAGGCCTGTCTCCAATCACGGCACAGTTCATTAAAAAAATATAGGCTGTTCTGCAGTCTCCCCAGGGCCCTTTACCTCAGCAAGGTTTGTTATTTGCGATCTTACAAAATGTTCCATAAATGTATTTATGGAACTTATTAATATCCTCTACTTTTTCCAGGAGGGATTGTAATTCAGGGCTTCAAGAATGTGCTTTGCCCACAAAATGGTTAAAGTGTAAATAGTATGGGTCTTCCGGAAGGGTTCGTTCAGTCACCACAAAAGAAAATCACATTTTAATTAGCGCTCAAGGGCTTTCATTCGTACAACAGCACTACCTGCTTAGCAAGAAACTATTTTCAGCTCTAACCACCGTGAGCATTTTTTCAATTTTTTTAGGAAATAGACTACATACAGCTTGAAATAAAAATTCTAAATATTCAGGTGCATGGAAAAAAAAAAAGGGAAACGTAGGAGCATGAGAAAATAAAAGACAGCAGTTCAAAGGGAATATCTGTTAAACAAATTTAAGAAATATTGTCTTGCAAGAACCAGACCATTATAAATAGGGATGTTTACAATGACAGTAGAAGTGATTTTTCTCTGGAGATATGGATAAACAGCACGATTTAACAGCCTTTGAACGTGGGATGATTGTTGGGGCTCGGAGCCATGGAGCGAGTATCAGCAAAACAGCAGAATTTGTTAAATGTTCAAGAGCAGCTGTTAAAGTGTTTAAAGACTGGACTGTCAGCCGAAAATCTGGGTCTGAACGTGCGAATTGTGGCCGTCAGCGACTAGTCAATGTTAGGGCAGAACGGAGAGTGGCAAGACTGGTACAAGACAACAGAAGGGCAACAGTGCAGTGTCAGATTCCTCGCATCACCTTTCAACATCTCGTGGAGTCACAAGGCGGCCCAACGAAGTACTGATGGGGTGGTCATAATAATCTGGCCAGTGTGTATGTGTATGTATATATATATGCACAGGTTTTCTTTCACCCCTTCAGGATATATACCTTGCAACAATCTGTAAAACCAGAAAAAAACTTTTTGGCATTTGCTGCTATGCAGGGATTATTTTGCCTCAGGTCTGTAAGGTATTTTTCCCCCCGGTGTTAGCATTTTTAAGTAAAGAAAAGGAAAACTAATATGAACTAAAACCATTAAAATAGGTGTAAACCCTGACCGAAAGAAAATTTGGTTTCATTCAAGCACTGTGTAGAAATAAACAATTGCCTTTTTTATTAGAATATTGTTTTTAAATCAATTATTGCATTTCCATGCTGCTTATCTTGTGCAGCCCATTTACAATCACTTCCTGTCTACATGCATGCACACCAGTAATGGCTGCACGGCATTTCTAAGGGTGACTTTCACAATAGTGACAAGGCTGGACCAGGCCTGCGCATATTGTGTGTTGAAATGGTCACTTGTAGTTTGCATCAGAAACCATGTGACTGGGTGACAACGCAGTAGCAGAATTGGGAAACAGGAAGTGCCTGAACATGGAGCTTCATGCTTCATGGCAGGATCACCAGGAATCTGCCGCTTTCATTATATTAAAAGTCACTTTTGAAATTACATTATCATGTTCAAGCTATAGGATTTTTTAGTGATCAAATTAAAAGCGTTAATTTATGTAAATACATACTTTTTCTTTTAGTTTTCTTTCCTGTTCCTCTTCTTTCTTTTTATGTAACCATTGCTGATACTTCTCTTTGCTTCGCTCTTGTACAGAACTTTTCCATTGTTCTTGCACTTCCTTCTCCTGCTTTTCCTTCAGGAGCTTTTCCTCCTTCTCCTTTCTTTCCTATACAGAATATACAATACAAAAAAAATTAGTTGCTGTTGCAGAGTCTTCACGTTGACCAACCCAACCGTGTCATGTAGTGCACTGCCATTTCCAGGATACTGCTTTAGACGCAATTAACATTTCTAGATGCTCCCTATGACATTAAGGGCCCAATCACACCAAAATTGGAAGGAAACTGTAGTTTCAACCCCGTTTTTGGAAGGTATGTGTCCCATTACATCTGGCGTAAGACTAACACCGCATTTCAGAAAAAGGACATCATACCAACAGTAAAATATGGTGGTGGTAGTGTGATGGTCTGGGGCTGTTTTGCTGTTTCAGGACCTGGAAGACTTGCTCTGATAAATGGAACCATAAATTCTGCTGTCCACCAAAAAATCCTGAAGGATAATGTGCGGCCATCTCTTTGTGACCTCAAGCTGAAGCGAACTTGGGTTCTGTAGCAGGACAATGATCCAAAACACACCAAGTCCACCTCTGAATGGCTGAAGAAAAACTAAATGAAGACTTTGGAGTGGCCTAGTCAAAGTCCTGACCTGAATCCTATTGAGATGCTGTGGCATGACCTTAAAAAGATGGTTCATGCTCAAAAACCTTCCAATGTGGCTGAATTACAACAATTGTGCAAAGATGAGTGGACCCAAATTCCTGCACAGCGCTGTAACAGACTCATTGCAAGTTATCGCAAACGCTTGATTGCAGTTGTTGCTGCTAAGGATGGCCCAACCAGTTATTAGGCTCAGGGGCAAACACTTTCTCACATAGGGCCATGTGGGCTTGGATTTTGTTTTCCCTGAATAATAAAAACCTTCCTTTAAAAACTGCATGTTGTGTTTACTTGTGTTATCTTTGACTGGTATTTAAATTTGTTTGATGATCTGAAACATTAAAGTGTGACAAACGAACAAAACAATGAAAAATCAGGAAGGGGGCCAAAACTTTTTCACACAACTGTACATACATACGTAATTGTTTTTTTTGCTAGTAGTATGCTCTACTTATTTTTTCATTGCATTGGTTTGCAGTATTGCAGTGGTGTGGACTGGTCCCATTCTCACCTATTCACTTTTTTTGGTGCCCTTGCGTTAGCAAGAGGATCACAATTCAACAGATCTGGTGTGAATAGGGCCTACAAGTCTTCACCTTTTGAGTTCCAATCCACTTTAGTATATTTAAAATTCTCATAATAGTCCAAAATGCACAAAATATTTCATAAAATCCAAACCACAGAAATATGAATCCTACCGCTGACCCCTTTCTACCCTCCTTTGATTTGCGGTCTACATAAATCTAGGCTGTCCATTCAGTTCTAATGTTATTTATGTAGCACCACTAGATCTCAATAAGAGAGCCGCAACACCAGCAGTTCCAATAGGGAAAAAATGAAACCGTGGCTCATAGACTGAGGAGAAAAGACATGTTGCCTTTTAACTGGTTTCTAGCAAGTTTCCATGTTTAAAGCAAACCTGTAACATATTTCTACCAAGCAAAGTAAGAAAAAGCTCAGACCAGTAACCAGGTATCTTCTGGTGCCACATTATCCTTTCATTTTCCCTCACATCTCCCCAATGCACTGCTAGAGGCCCCTCAACTACATGAAAGTAGATCTAAACATTACAGACATGGTCCACTGTGGTCACCATCAGAAAACGGTAAAATTCTATACAGTTGTGGCTGGAGTGCATGTAGACCGTCTAGATGTGGCTGCAAGGAGGATCAGCAGCACTGAGATGTAACAAAACAATAAAAGAAATATGGCAAACAATTTGTGATACAAAGTTCACCAGGAAACAAAAGGTTTTTTTTTTGCTTACATTTACATTAAAAAGTAATGTGTGAAACTCTTTGTTAACTCAATGCTAAATGTTACTTTTCCAAAAAAAAAGGAATTTCTTTCAAAACAGCAAAAAGGAAATTAGGTTTTCCTCTGCGCAATCCATGTTCCAAAGGGCATATTTAAATAATTGTCTTTGGATGCCCTGCACGCTATTTTACACTTCCCCTCTGCCCCCGGACGGAAAAAGTGAAGAAAAATAAATACAAAATTACACAAAAGGGGGAAAAAAAAAAAAAAGGCAATTCATTCAGCCGCGTTCAATTTGACTTCTTTATCCTGAATCAGAAGCAGCTATTGCATGTCTCTGCGTAATCCCTTGCTTCCTATTTTATTTGTTCTGCTTTATTTTCAGCAGAGCCAGAACTATTGCATGACATAGACTGATGCTTCTGATTTGCTAATTATACCCTTCGCAAATGGCCCCACCAGTTTCTTGGAGCCACATTTACTAATAGCTGCAATAGGAGACTGGCTGCTTGCCAGGGCAAGATAATTGCAGTCCTTTTATTGTCACACTGTTCTCTCCCTGCTTCATACCTCAATGCAAGCTATGTGGGAACACCTGGCACATTTTATATGCAATCTAAAAGACATATAAAACAATCTTTCACATACTTTATAAAAAAAAAATTATAGACAACATAGCTTCCAAGATGGATTTCCATATTAAAACTGTCATAATCCTTTAATAACAGGTTTTTAAAACAATGGCCAACCATTACTCATGCAGTCAGCTCTAGTAAAGGATCCCATGTATTGAAGTTATGAGTCCTAGGATTACTGCACAAGGACAAAAAGGTGCAGATTTTTAAAAAGAAGTGATCTATGGCTCCCAGGATGCTATACAATATTAAAAGGAACACCCGGGCCTCCTAGTGAAAAGGGCAGCATCTTTCTTTGTTACCTCTCTCTTGATGTCCTCTTCTCTTCCCTCGGTTTCCCCCTCCCCTTAGCTTATTCCCTCTTCTTTCATCTTTCTTGTTCTCCCATTTCTATATGATCTTTAAAAAAAAAATATTCCCTCAATGATTGCACAGGTTTTCAGATTTATTAGTCTTTCTGGGGTGCAAGATGCTTTAAACCAGTGGTTCTCAACCTGTGTAACCTCAGGACCCACATTTGTCCTTGGTCATTGAATCGCACTGCAATGGAACGCACGGCATTATGGTACCGCACGTTCCGGTGCAGATGTATGAACTGTGGGTGGGAGGTGCATTTGGGGTACCATTCAAATGAATGACAACGCAACACTTCACACTCCAGAATGCACAGTAGGTGCGATTGCGTGTCACAGTATGTTAATCACACGGGACTGTGCTGGTGTGAACGGGCCCTCAAAAACACTGACATACATACACAACCACAGACACAATCTCACACTCATACTCCAAAAGCACTTTTTTAATTTTAAGATCCACCCAGTCTCCCTACCTACGAGAACTGGAATGGATCCTCAGCCTGGGGTCCAGTGTGGGTTGCTGTGCTGTGACGGAGCTCCAACCATTGCTTGTACAGCTCCATTTAGCACCCCGTGGAGGTGCCGGGACCCAGAATGTGATGTCACGTCAGTCCAGGCACCACTACAGGACACGTGAGGAAGCTGTAAGCAATGCATGTAAGGATGGAGCTCCCCGACGTCCATACCCCCAGCCCAACTCAGCATATTTTGAATGGCTGCTTGGCGTGAGAACTGAGAATGCTGCACTAGGAGGCTGCTGAGGAAAAGTGGAAGGCATGCGGTGATCCACTGAACATGGGGTTGCGACCCACTTTTGGGTCACGACCCACCAGTAGAGAACCAAGGTTTTAAACTGTATCTTCGTTGCCTGCTGTCTGTGGACAAACGGATATTCAATACGATTGTATGTTACTTACACCCCTGAAAACTGTCTTTTATTACTCTGCGTGTTCATTGGCGATTTTGATGAAGAATTAAAAAAAAAAAAAGAAGAAAAGTGCTACATCATGGTGCGGCAATTAGATACGTTCCCTTCCAATACTTTCTGGATCCACTTCCCACCAAGTCCCTATCTGGAGGTTGCTCTGCCCGAAAAAAACGAACTGGTTAATTGGCTTTTACTCCGAGTGTGATTTGTGTGTTTATCATTTTGTCACCAGAGGTCATTAAAACCTGCTAACTTGACAATAGCTCTATAACCAATTTGCCTGCCTAATTATTTTATAAAAAGACTTAGGTTTTTTTCAGTACATTGCTTTGATCACCTAACCCCAGATGTACGGATATACTGTATGTTGCAGCATGGACTGGGCCTTAAAGTGACACTAAACTCAGAAGTTAAATCTTAAAAATGCATTCAAGGTATCTTAAAGTAGTATTAAGGTCTGGGCGCCTTTTACCTGAATGCATTCTCTGCATTCAGGTAAAAACCACCCGGTACCCCCCCCCCACTTAAATGTCAGCGACGCTCGTCCCCGCCACCGGTCCCGAAGTGATCCTCTGTTCCCCGTACTTCCTGGTTGCAGGAGGAGGATACTGATGGCAGGGGAGCCATAGGCTCCTTCTCCCATCAATCAAACTGTTGGTCAGAGAGAAGGGGCGTGGCCTGCCACAGGGCTGTGTGTGTCTATGGAAACACTCGAAGTAAAAGCCAGTTAACCTATGAGTTTGTTTTTGGGCAGAACAATCTCCATCTAGATAGGGACTTGGTGGGAAGTGGATCCAGGAACCATTGGAAGGGAGAGTATCCAATTGCTGCACCATGATGTTGCGCTTTTCACTAGGAAGCCTGGATGTTCCTTTAATAGTCTAGAGCATCCTGGGAGCCTTCAGCCTTTGAGTCTTGTTTACCTTTTGGTTATAATGAAAAAAGGGGCATTTATTAACCCCTTAATAAATTCCATGTGTAAGTGTTTTATTATAAACCACCTAATGCAAAAAAAGTTCAAAAAATTTAATTTACTCTTAACTTAACGTTTTTATTTTTTTTGTAGTCTGTATATTACTTTAACAGCTGGTGCTGTCAATTTGCCTCTCTCTGTATGAGGCATGGGGACAGTAAAACCCATGGGGTTGTAAACAAACCCATGTGATCATTCAGATTGGCTGTCATTGTAATGACATTGGGAATCAAACAGACTGAATCCCGATAGTAAGTGAGAACAGTGCTGTCAGTGACAGCACAGTCTTGGCACTAGGTGC